ATGCTTCCTTTTTCATCAATCTGACTTTTACTGCTAACTGTTTTCGTAGTGTTTTCCATCATCAAAAAGGGGTGAGATTGTTGGAAATATTTTCAATGTCTTATGTTTTGATGATTTACAAACAATTTCTCTTGACGCTTGTGCTTCTAACTTTTCTGGAATCTGAAGATCAGACGAACAGACAAAGCTAAGTTCAGGAAGTGCGTAAGTTAGGTTGAAGTCAATCTGTAATCTATTTTTTCTAGTTCTTGAGTAAGTTTTGTAATGTTCAAAAAGACTGATACTTAAGTAACCCTACACACAGCACATGAGAGATTAGAATTCTATTTTGCTCACGATCGGCCAGGCCGATCCTTGGATCGTCCTGGACGATCGAGTAAAAACAGAGATCTAATCAGCGATTCTTAATAGGGCAGCCTTCATTAACATATCGCCTGGACGATACTGTAATCGCCAGGACGATTAGCTCAAAACAGAAAGAAGTTGCCTCCATAGACATATTAGGTATACTGTATTTTTTTAAATTTCAGTCAGGACGATCCATTGATTCGCCTGGACGATATTCACAAATTATGCCTTATTGATCAGGAAACAAGGGAGTATTAAGGATGATTCGATACGATCATATCGGCTTGGACGATTGTAGCATCGCCAGGACGATCCAGTCAAAAACGCTTAATTACTACAGGACGATAATATGCCAGAGTCGTATCCAGGGCTATTGTTAGGAGATTTCCCATATTTGAACTGATCGGCCAGGATGAAGTCGGATACGGCCTGGACTGAATCAAGCCAATTTTTAATCGTCCAGCTTTTGCATCCATGGGCGATGCCTAGGCCGATCTTCTGAGTTTGTAACTGTCGGCCAGGCGATGTCCATATCGGCCAGACGATAAAGTCGGCTAACTTGCAATAATGAGCTCCTTTGAAGCTCTTTCTATTTAAGACTCTTGTTGCTACATTTTGAATACCTTGCGCTGCTGCCTTGACTGAGAAGACTTGAGGAGAGAAAGAGAGAGAGGGAGGGAGAGATGATCTTATGAGGGGGAGCTTGGTGAGGGGATCACAAGGGTTGCTTCAAGGATCGCTCTACTTGTTCTTTGTCTAAAGTTTCTCGTCCGTGGAAGGGTCGGTAGAGGTAAGGAGTTAGCTTTTTGTTATGTTCTCTGCCAGCTTTAGGGGAAGCAAAAGGAGATAGGTTCTTTGCCTTGCGGGGGGCAAAAAGGAGGTTCTTATGAGGGCTTCTCCGCCTAGCCGTGGGGGATAAGGGAGAGTCACGTTTTTTTAGTGCAATACTTGAGGTGCCTCCAAAGAGTGACGTAGGTCGAGTTTGACCGAACCACTATAAATTTCTGTGTTCTTATTTTTGCTTCCGCACTTTTATTTCCGCATTTATTTTTGTGGTGTGATTTTTTGGTTATACTCGATTTTTATTCTTTGTGAAAAGAATTTTAAATACCAATTCACCCCCTCTTGGTTAGCTTGGGCCAGTTCTATAGGGCTTAACATCCCTAATGAACTTTTAGCCGACTATAATTCCTTCGACCATTATTGAAATTACTAGATGCGCCAAGAGGGGGTGAATTGGATGATTAAAAACTTATTTAATGAAAAGAATATCTTTTTATGACTTTTTGTGGAAGCAAATTTCATTTACAATAAAAGGATAGATAATCAATTTCATTCACGCAATAATTCGCAATAAAAAATATATGCAAAATAAAGTGCAGAAAAAATAAAGGAAGAAACACTCAATTTATAATGATTCGGTCAAACCATGACCTAGTCCACTCCCCGAGGCACCCTCCGAGTATTACACTAAACCTTTAGTGATTCTCCTTTATCTCCCACAGCTAGGCGGTGAAGCCCTTACACTTCACTTTCACCTTCCCCGGTGCGGTGGAGGAGCCGGGTCCTTTGACACCAATGAGATCTTCTTCTTCCCAAAACTTCCTTCAAACGAACCTTGAATCCGATGGTACTGAGGTGCAAGCTCACCGGAGCAACCGTGTGATCTCCTTCACACTCCCTTGAAACCCCCTCCAAGGATCTTCTCCCTCTCTCAAATTCCCCATTTCCTCTCTCCCTTTCAAGTCCTCTCTTCAAGTTTTCTCACAAAAGAATGAAGACACAATGGCTGCCAAAGATCTCTTACAAAGTCTTATGAGAGTGCTTAAATAGAGGGCTCAAAAAACCCTAAATACTCAATTCAACCGTCAAATATCGTACCGTACGATCTCAAGATCGTCCAGTACGATGTGCAGAAATTGACCTGTTAGTACTGTATGATCCAGTTAGTACAGTACGATCCAGTTCGTACAGTATGATCCAAATGACAAATTTCAATCGTTTTGATTGCATAATCTCAGGATTAACTTAGGCAATATTTTCAAACATCGTACCGTACGATTATTATCGTACAGTACGATTATACAACTGTTCAAATTCAAATTTTTGCCTAATTTAATGGACGGGCTTTCTAATTATAACAGATTCATATAGTCGATGTGGTGATCGTACAGTACGATTAGTTATATTCAAAATTAATTTTTTCAGGAAAATCTTATTTTTAATTTTTTTCTGTTACACAGATCGTACAGTACGAAATAAATTCATCACAGTACGAAATAAATTCGTACAGTACGTGAACAGAAAAGTGAAATATTCATAATCATTTTTTGCTCCCTCTGTGTGTGTGCATGATCAACAAACTAACAAACATCATTATAAGACTTAACTCAATAAATGAAAATTACAGACTCATTTAATACGTTCAATTCTACACAATCTTGAGCCTTGAATTTTTAAAGACGGTGCATAATGTACTGAATATTAGTTAACATAGAAAGAAATATGCACTGCAAATACCAGGAGAAATAAAAGATTAATAAATATTATTCAAAATCATAAACTCGGAAGCCCGAGTTGCAACAATTGTTGCCCATCGACTTCAGCCCATCTGATCTCCGTCGCCTGCGGACACAATTCCTCTGACCTCTGTCACCGGACAATTTTCCCCTCTCACTTTATATGTATGTGTGGTGGATCTTTGTTCAAAGCTAAGATGCTAAGCTCTTTATCTCTCTAGCACCTAGAATGTTTTAGGATGCATTAAAACTCACTAAGCTCGATCATGTGGCTAATTTTTTTTTTTTTCAAAACAATGATTTGAGATCGCTTAAAATAGCTCAATATAGCATAAAATCCATCTGCAAGAGCATACGAAACATTTTTCTCAATCTCGACAAGAATAACCTAAGCTGAAGGAAACACAATGAGCCCATAAGCAATTTTCCAAAACCATGAAAACAGCCAATATTTGATATATGAAACATAAATTCGTTAAAGCTCTCTCATAGAAATTTTCCATTCCAATAATCAGTTGCGGGTCCACCGTAGCGGCGAGAGAATCTATTTTATGAAATTTCCAGCCAGCGGTTGTCATCTAGGCGGAATTCTCATCTTTCTTTCCAGGAAACCGCGTTCATATCTATTTTGACCTGTGGTAATCAAACCGCGAACTTCCGCTTGAGTTTCCCCCCTTAGTCCGGGTAACGGTTTGTAGCCGTGGCTCACATTTGCGGGTTCCACTCCCCCGCTATCACATCACCAGCGTAAGCAACTCTACCGCGGCTTATGTCACCTCGCTCTCTCCCACTCTTCTACTTCCACGCGTAAACGTGGCTGAAAATTCCTGCTTCCATCCAAATTCCATTCCTCTCGTTCCCTTCACTATTTTCTTCTCCTCCTTTTCATTTATCACTTTTTTTCATGCTTATAAAGTCGATGCTATGTAAGCCAATAATCCGATGTACCAGGAATCGGTCACTGGATACCAGAAACACGCGGCCTTCTAATACGACTGCCAAATCAACTCAAATCTCTCTTACAATTATATATTTCTCTGCCTTCAAGCCTTATATTCGAACGCTGCATGTTCGCAAACGAAAGAGGCCTCATCTTTTCAAGTTGCAGAGGACAATGATGGAGAGCGGCACAGATATGATGGTTTCTGAGCTGTACCAAATCCATGAGCTAGCGAGGAAGCTCAACGAGAACCTTGAACTTTCGCATTATGAAATCTGCAGATCACTTGCAAAAGAGATCATCTGCGCTATCGAGAAGACTATCTGCACGGCCAAGTCTAGTAGCACTGGTGAAACAGAGTTAGCCTTTTTCAATGGCAGAGAATTTCATGTGGATAGATTGAACAAGGAATTCAGTACTGATAACGAGCCGAAGAAATCCAAGAAGAGGTAGTTCATAAATTCCCGTAAATCACTTGATTCAAATAGAAAAGTTAATTATCACCAAAAACTAATTATTTCTTATGACATTGCAGGAAGATAATGGCCACCGGGACCAGCCAAGTGAGGGTGAGCTCCGATCCAGGAGCTGATATGCCACCAGATGATGGCCATAGCTGGAGAAAATACGGCCAGAAAGATATCCTTGGAGCAAAACATCCTAGGTTAGTACTTGATAAGTATAATAATTCGTACAACTTCCCAACTTGTGATTTATCACAATTAGATTCCTTTTTCTTTTAGTACTTTGCAAAGTGAAAATTAATCATCTTCGAAGGCCACAAACTTAAAAAGTTATTCCACTCACAAAGGATAAGCATAATATCGTTTTTCTGATGTCTTGCGCCTTTCACTTTTTAAGCATTAAAGCCAGCAAAATCACCTTAATTACTAGCCATTATTCAAAATAGCAAACATCTTTGTCTTGTTAAGATAGAAAGATTTTCAGCATCTAAACTTCGTAAAACTGATCTTTTATCTGGATCTAATTAGAGATTATCTTGTTAACGAACTTCGCAGATCTTACTACCGCTGCACTCACCGCAAGACTCAGGGATGCGCGGCCATGAAACAAGTGCAGAAAACGGATGAAAACTCCTCAATATTTGACATTACCTACCTGGGAACTCATACTTGTTTCATTTCGCCGCAGCATATTGCATCAAAAACTAGCTATTATAACCCACAACAGAGCTTACTTGATCAACAGAATAGTTTGGTTCTGCATCTTGGCTTCGAAACCAACCTCAAATTAAAGACCGAAAGCTCGGACTTGAATAAAGATCCGACCTCTTCATTTTCCTTCCCCTCAACCCCAATCGAAGGAATGAATTCGGAAAATGTCTTGTTCTGCTCTTCTCAACGCACAGAGTGCTGTTATGGGGTAAATCTCTCTTCAGCGCTTATGTCACCAACAAGCTATGAATCGAACTGCTTCACATGGCCTTCATGTGAAATGAGCAGCGAAGTGGATTACGCACTAACTGAAATAATCTCAGCATCAAATTCAGTGGCAGATTTGCCGGTTATGGATGTCGAGTTCATGCGGGACTACGAAGAAATGGATGCTGAGATCCTCTTTGACACGTCCATCTTCTTCGAGTAAGGAAATGGACTAGTTTTTAGCCTGCTAGATTAAAAAACCTGGCCTGTGAGAAAACTGAGAGGATTGCTGGACCAGATCATGGAAAATAAATAATTATCCTGCTCGTCTTCAAATATCCTCCGTCCACGGCTAGAGTAATTTTAATTTCAGCATTGAATGTTCGCTTTCTTGTATTGGAACTACTTTAAGCGCAACTATTAACAATTTCACTTCATTTTCGCCAGCATTTCTTCTTCTTACACAAACAATTGTATCGCCGCTGAGTATTTATGACTCCAATGAAATCATAAAGCAACTATAAATCTCATTTTGATTGATTATAGCTTTAAATTAAATAATAATAGGTTTAATAACTTATGTAATATTCCTCAGAAGCATATAAAAAACGGCGACACATAAAACCAGCCCTAAATAGTTGGAATAATTAAAAATGACTAATAAATAATATATCTGTATAGCGTAATAACAATGATCTTCAGTAGATTGGAAGATATTTGTGCATGTTAAAACTTTAGTTTATGTCGTTATTCTAAAGAGTGCCAAAAGTGGCTTCTCTACGGGAATATTAGCGGCAGCCAAACACGAAAGAGATATTCAATAGGTGAAATTTTTTTTTTTTGGGACATTTAGGCCATTTAAGGTAAACTCACACACACAACGCATACACATAGACTCGAACCCTAGACCTCTTAACTGGAAGCCTAAGCTCTCAACCAATAGGCCAAGGTGAGTTGTGTTTTCAGTAAAAAATTAATTAAAAAAAAAACAAAAGAAACAGATTTGAGACCAACGGTGCACTGTAGATCCACGGAGCTATTTTGTCACAAGCGGCGACAACATTAATATTTTTTTAAACAGGACGCTACAGATCGAAAACCATTGGGTACAATATGAAGAACTGTAGGTCTAATCTTATTAAGTTCTTAGGTCATCTCCGATGGAATGGCAAATAATTATTTGTCGTTCTTTTGTCACTCCAACCGAGCGGCAATTTTACCCCTATTTCATCGCGGGTGAACAGTGCGACGCCAATATTGGGGTCGCATTGTTCACCCACTAAATTTTTATGTCAACGAGATTTGCCCGCAAAATGGAGAAAATCGGTTACGAGACGACAAAGCCCGTGAAATGGAGTTCGATTGGAGCAGAATTATTGCATTTTGGAATTTTGTTGTATTTTGTAGTGGAAATGGGGTTTTCGTTTGGAGATACCCTTACTCGGCCACTTTAAATCTTTTAAACCAACCTATACGACACCTATACACATGATTATTTTGCTCCACTATACCTACTGCATATAACTACCAACTCAACTGCATAATTGATGGTCGGCCATATACCATCATTCTTTATTTGTATATATATGTATTTCTTGTATTGAACAGTTATAGAGAATGTGATACACAAATACTAGTTATCTTCATTTTCTTGCTCTCTGCTATTTGCTTCAGGTTACTTCTCTATAAATTCTTTCATGGTATCAGAGCAGAATTGAAGTCCTTAATTACTTTCTTTGGTGTACTAATTCAACTGATTCAATGACAAGTACAGAAGCTACTTCTACTGTCATTCCCACCGCCGCCTCCACTACAGCTCTCCCTAGTCCCCCTCAACTAAATTTTTTAATGGTCAATGTTAAATATGTGCTAAATGTTCAACTTGAAGCAACCAATTATCCCACTTTGACACTCTCAGGTCTTAAAGCTTTTCGGTGTCAATGGCTTTACTGAATACCTAGATGGATCTATCCACCCACCGCAAAAAAATCTTTCCAATGATTCATTTACGGTGAATCCTGTTTACCTCTCTTGGCATCTCATTGATCAAAACTTGGCTGCTTCCCTCTTCTCCTCTATTTCACAGTTGTTATTACCTTATGTCCTAAATCTCCAAACCTATCATGAAATCTAGCTTACCTTGGAACGTCGACTCCAGGCGACGAACAGCTCTTGCATATTATAGCTAAAAAAATGCACTGCATCAACTTAAGATGCAAGACAATCCGTTGTTCTAGTATCTATCAGATATCAAACAGAGAGTAAATGTCATTACCGTCGCTGGTTCCCACATAGATCCTGAGGATGTCATCCTCTATACACTTAATTGATTACCATCAACATATAATGCCTTTAAAACGGTCATATGAACTAAGCTCCAGCCGATCAGTATTGATGACGTGTTTGCTTTATTATGTAGTGAAGAGGTTAATATCTCAACTGAGCAAGCTACTCAGCAAAATCCCTATTCATTATTCGCCCTTCCTGCATTCAGCGGGTGTTCTCGTGCTTCCACACGCGATCAGTTTTCATCATCCCGTGGAGCTCGTTCTTCATCACAAGGTGGTGGTCGACAACAGTTTAACTCTCTCACATGCCAAATTTGTGGAAAACAAGGTCACTCAACCATGTCCTTGTAGCACAAGACCAATCTATCCTATCAAATGTCTGTAGCGGGCTTTTCTAGCTCAAGATGATAAATCATTCTTTGCAGACTGGTTTTTTGACTCCGAAGCATCTTCACACCTCACTGCTGATTATTCTAAACTACAGACTATTCAACCCTACTCCATGACATCTCATGTTCAAGTTGGAGATGGTACCCAATTTCCAATTGCCATCCCGGGTAAAGGCATTTTTCCTACGCCTAGCCATTAGCTTCACTTACCCCAAATACTTCATGTCCCACATCTCACTCACAATCTCATTTTTGCGTCTAGCCTTCTTAAACATAATGCTTGTTATATAGTATTTGACAATACTAGTTTCACTCTAAAGGATTCCAAGACTCATCAAATCCTTCTTTGGGACCAACTCAACATGGCATGTATCCTATTAAGCTACTACCCGCATTTGGTCTGCCGCACTATACCATCAAAGCTACAACTCCTTTTACCACTCTCACAAGCTTCTCAACATGGCATAACCTTCTTGGTCACCCATCCATTCTTCTATAACAACAGCTCTCCTCTGTTCTCTTATTTGCTCAACAAGACAAGCTATCATCCCAATGTGATTCGTGTGTTCGTCCAAAATGTCATCGTCTTCCTTTTACTTTAGCTTCTTCTAAAACTACTAAATGTTTAGAACTCCTACATTCTAATGTATGAGGAGCTTTCCCAATTCTATCAAATTAGTATTATAAATATTATCTTTTATTTGTGGATAACTTTACTCTCTTTTGTTGGGTATTCCTTTTAAAGCTCAAATCTGATGTGTTTACCACATTTAAACGTTTTAAACAATTTGTTAAAAATCAATTAAAAACCCCTATTAAACAGCTTTAAACTGATTATGGTGGAAAATTTGTTAATCAAAATTTCAAAAAATATTTGAATTAATGTGGTATTTGTTGTGAATCTGATTTTAGAAAATATAATTTTGATGATAGCAAACATTTCTGTTACTTTTATTTCTTTACAATTGCCTTGCCTACTAACGTTCCAGGTCCACAAGATCAAACTGCGAATCGAACTAGCTCAAGATTGCATAGATTAAGTCTAAGTCAGTTTGTAATATACGATAAGTGTCTTTTACCTTTTCTTGAGTCCATTGTAACATTGTGAGTCATGTTGCTAAGTAACCTTGCACACACACACACTTGGGGGAGAATTTCTAGTTATTTTAGAGTTTTCTATTTTCGATCAAATCGTTCGGTACGATCCAAAAATCATCCTGGACGATTAATTAAAAATAAAAAACCTAATTAGGGGATCATGGTTAAGGCAGCCGCAATTAAGCACATCATCTTGGATAATATTAGCATCATCCAGGACTATAGGCTCAAATCAGAAAGAATCAGCCATCAGATCTATTTAGGCATCTTTTATTTTTGGACCTCGTCCGGGACGACATAGTGCAATTATACATAAATTAATTTGATAATTAATGAAATTAATTAAGGTTTGATTTCTCGATCATATCGGCTTAGACGATCGCAGGATCATCCGGGACGATCACTTCATAAACCTTAATTCTTTCTGGATGATCAAAAATTGGTCTGACTCCTTTCAGGGCGATACTCTGGATAATATGAACTGAATTGAACTAATCATCCGGGATGATTCTTAGATCGGCATGGACGATCAAGTTATTTTTTCATCATCCAGACATCCATTCAGAGCGATGGTCTGGATGATATTTATCATTTTGTACTAATCGTCCTGGATGATCGTGAGATCATCCTAAACGATCTACTTATTTTTCCATCGTCCAGACATGTATCTAAGGTGATGGTATGGATGATCTTCGTTAAGTTAAACTAATCATACAAGAGGATATACTATTATCTGAGATGATATTTGACGATTAGTTGCTAATTAGGGCTATTTTGGAGTCCTTATTTAAAAAGATATCTTCTTTCTCAAGGGAAGATATTTTGCTGTTGTCCTGACCTGAGAGAGCCAAGAGGAGAGGGGGAGTAAGGGAAGTAGAGAGAGGATCTTGTGAGGGGGATTTTGTGAGAGATTTCATAAAGGTTACTTCAAATAAGGATTCGAGTCATCTTCTCTGGTAGTCGTCCCTGGGTCCTTGGAGGTTCTAGAGAGGACTTCTTTAGTAACTGATCGATGTTCTCTGCCTACTTCAGAAGAAAATAAAAGGAGTTGGGTTCTCTGCCTACTTCTGGAGGAAGTAAAAGGAGTTGGGTTCTCTGCCTGCTTCTATAGGAAGCAAAAGGAATTGGGTTCTCTACCACACCAGGGTCGGTGGAAAGGAGTTTTTGTACGTTCTTCTCCTCCTTGCTGTGGGGGAAAAAGAAGAGACACTGAGTTTAGTGAAATACCTGGGAGAGAGGCTATGTGGAGTGGACATAGGTCAAGTTGACCAAATCACTATCAAATTTTTTGTACGTGTTCTTTCTTATTATACTTTCACATTTAATTTCAGCACTTTAATTTCTGTGGTGATTGTTTAGTTGTGTTTGTGATTTTATTTGGAGAATTTTTTAAATATCAATTCACCTTTCCTCTTGGTTCGCCTTGAGACTAGTTCATAAGGGCTTAACATCCATGTCGAACTTTCAAGTGATATCAAAGCGGGATTCATAAAATCGAGTTTTTAAAAAACTTTTGAATTTCAATCAATGGCTAACTTTGGTAATTGTAAAACTGTGGAAGGTTATTATATTATCTGACCACCTTTGTTTGACAATATTTCTTTTGATTTTTGGAAAACTCATATGTCTACATTTTTACAATCGATTAACTATCACATGTGGATGCTTGTT